TGTCAAGCACTTATTAGGACGTCTATTATTTTCGGTAAGATCCCAGGCCCCAAACGAATATCAAATGGTCGGTCCCTTACTGACTTAATATGTGTTATTTACCACGCATGCTACATATGTAATATCTAAAATAACTGTCATCACCGCTTAAATATTATTTCAGTTGTACTTACCCTGTATGTCTCAGTCTATTACCACTGTGCTGATATGCATGTGCATAGCTATGGTGCTGACAAACAAAGGATCGATATCAAATTTTGATGACAGACTGCAAGGGCGGTCGGGTAGCCTAGTGGGTAAAGCGTTCGCTCGTCACACCAAAGACGCGGGTTCATGGGTACAATGTGTGAAGCCCATTTCTGGTGTTCCCTGCCGCGATATTGCTGGAATATTGCTAAAAGCGGCTTAAAACCATACTAACTCACTCACTGATAGACTGCATCTACCTTAGAGATGAAATAAAAGCGACAAAACTCTTTTCCATATTCAAAAAAAATCTCTGCCAAAACAGAGTTGATGTACGATTCCGATTGTATCATGAGCATGTTTCTATGAATCACTATCAAATAGTGATGATACAAGGAGATCGCGAAGGTTAGCGTTTCCTGTCCCACCGATGGTACCCGTCACAAACATATACAAAGGTAAGTCGATTTTTCATCTGAAAAACACGGGACCATATCCTTCACATATCTACAATTAGCAACACTTAGTCTGAATAGTTACGTAGTCTCCAAGTAAAGCGCATCTCACAATGAGGACTCATACAATTCTGAACTTAGTGTTAAGTGGTCTTAATTATACGTTACCTCAGGCCACATGCTGATGTCACTGTGTATCCATCCGGGGGTGGAGACGAGATCCCCGGGGGGGGAGCTGCTGTTGTGATTGTGACGATGACATTCCAGAGATTGAGGTTCGAACCCGACCGACTGACAGCGAGAGTGAGCGTAACATGTGGCCACACAGTCCATCAGTGAGGGTGCGCATTTGACGTCGTACACGTGGTTAGCGAGGTACGTGTCTTGGACGTTCGCATTGTGAACACACAGCGTTAGAATCTGTTTACAATATACCACAAATATCAACACAGATTTGACCTCCCTACCCAACATGATGTCTCAAACTAACTCATGTACTCAAGGGCCGTTTTATGCAGAACAGATGAGAATGTACCGTGCGTCAGTGAAAGCCTGGTGGAAAGTTTGGCTGTACATCATTTAATAGTACTAGTCAATGCGCAGAAAAGATCAGTTTCAGCTCCTATTGACATCTCTGTGTTCATTATTCAGACGTTAAGGTAATACAAGAAGATATCATTATTTGGAAAATAAATACTTAATGTTCAGGGAGACCAGATAAAGAGTGCTGGAATCGACAAAATGAGCTCGGATAATCATGTGGGATCTGTAAGGACAGCCCTCTGACAATAACAAACTGTAACCATTTTCATCACGATATTGTAAATAAAAGCTTCAGTTACACTTCTGGGCCAAATTACCTTGTTTTGACTTTGCCAACCATAGCAGAAATTCCGATTTATATGCATACAGAAACAGATCAGTAAGTGTGAGTGAGTTGGGTTTAACGCCGCTTTTAACAGTATTCCGCTTTTAACAGTATTCAAGTAACAGTATCACGGCGTGTCAGTTGAATGTGGGAGGAAAACCCGAAGTGATGTAGGTCTCAGACGTTTACCACTTCGGTGAAACCAACTAGCAAGGATATGGTGCTGACATACATAGAAACATAATCGGGGCAACCCGGGATTCGAACCCACAATCATAGGTTTCTGGCGTGCCCAAGGGACGCAACTATGCACCGCGAATCGCGGCGCCTTAGACGACTGGGCCACCCGTGCCACAAAACCAACTAATGTATACACCTACATGGGTTGCAGATTTGAAGAGGTCATATGACGATGACGATGTATTGGCCACAGTAGATATACACTTGAATATTTGTTGAAAGTTTAGGATGTTCCATTCAGAATCTCTTGAGATTAAAGATTCAGTGGACTTTAAGTGCTTTTTGAATGCATTGATTTTTCCATCACAAGGCATAAATATTTATGTGTCGTCACATTTTAACACTTTCTCACTCAGATTCCAGTCCCGTCGTGCGGAACTCCATGGTTGGTTGTCTGTTGTTTAACGCCTCACTCGGCAATATTCCAGCTATATGGTAGCGGTTTGTAAATAATCGAGTCTGGACCAGACAATCCAGTGATTGACTTCATGAGCATCGATCCAAGCAATGGGACACGATGACATGCATCAACCAATTCAGCGAGCCTGACCACCCGATCCCGTTAGTCGCCTCTTACGACAAGCATAGTCGCCTTTTACGGCAAGCATGGGTTGCTGAAGACCTATTCTCACCCGGATCCTTCAGGTTCCATATGTGTCCCAGGCTCAGGATGATATGACATGCACTCGCAGTATGCCGCATATGCATTTGACCGGATGGTCAGGTTCGCTGACTTTTTTGATGCATGCCATCGTATCCTAATTGCGTGGGTCGATGCTCATGATGTCAAACACTGGATTGTCTGGTTCAGACTCGATTATTTACAGACAGCCGTCTTGAATATTGCTGAGTGCGGCGTTAAACAAACAAACAAACAAACCTTGAACGATACTATTCCTTGCAAATTTGCGTAGCATTCATCAAATGTCCGTATATGAAAAAAATCGCATTTATGGATTTGGTTTGTTTGCCGCACTCAGCAATATTCCAGCTATATGACGGCTCTCGGTAAATAATCAAGTCTTGACCAGACAACCCACGCAATTGGGATCGATGACATGCATCAACCAAGTCAGCGAGCCTGATCACCCGATCCCGTTAGTCGCCTTTTACGACAAGCATAGTCGCCTTTTACGGCAAGCATTGGTTGCTGAAGAGCTATTCTACCCCGGCTCTTCACGGGTCGCATTTATGGAACAGATTCTGAAAAACTCGATGAATACATAGTGTCAGCGAGTAGTCTGCTGGGACATATCATCCACTAGTCGACTTGGATTACTGGCGCAATATTCCAGCTGTATGACGGCAGTCGAGTGTGGACAAGACAATTCAGTGATTGACATCATGAGCATCGATCTACGCAATTGGGATTTGATGACATGCATCAACCAAGTCAGCGAGCCCGACCACCCGATCCCGTTAGTCGCCTCTTTCGACACGCATTGTCGCCTTTAACGGTAAACATGGGTCACTGAGACCTATTCTAGCCCGGATCTTCACGGGTCTACGATCATCATAGGGTTTATTTCTTTTTTGAGTAACACTAATAAAAATAGCAGTATTAATATCGCTATTATTATACTGTTACTCCACTGCGCGACATTGGTGCTACTTATTTTCTTTAAAACATATGTTCTTGAGAAAAGTACAGTGGAAATGCCAATCACTTGATTGGTTGGTCCAGACTCGATTATCTACACATCGCCGTCATATAGCTTAAAAAAAACCCTGCTGAGTGCGGCGTTAAACAACAAACACGCCTCGGAGGCGGTTCACTGTTAGTGAAATGTGCACCGAGACAACAATCTGAAAATCTCTTGAAATGAAAGCAGTTTGTGAATACACCAGTTGTTGTCTCAGTGCAAAAGACAGTGAACTCCTGCAGAGGCAGTGTAAGAGACAGAGCTCGTTGTCTTTCTTACATGAGTGAGGAGGAAATTGCAGCTGAGCTGAAAAATCAAGGAACAACTGCTGTGAATCGATTTGCCAAAAAGAAAGATGATGGCACTATCTCAAAACTGAACACATACCTATTTACATTTGCACTCTCTTCTATTACAAAGAGTATAAAAGCTGGATACTTCAACATCGGAATGGAGGTATACGTACCAAATCCACTCCGATGCGACAAATGTGAACAGTTTGGTCACGGGGCCAAGTTTTGCCGTAACGACACGGTTAGTGTCCCGTTGTGGTGGAGCTCATGAGGGCTCTGAGTGCTCCAACAGCATCAAGAGGGCTAACTGCCTCATCCAAATCCTGTCACTCATACGATTGTGAAACACAAATTTAAAAACTCAAACACACTACCAATATTTCATACTTTGAAGCTTGAAAAGATGGTGCCTCTTCCTACTAATTCAACTTTAACATATTCAGCTGTAGTTTCCTCTCCAGCTCCTGCTGCCAGAACTACCATGAGAACAACATCGTCTCAAACAACGTTATCTTGGGTGGATGAACAGATCATTCTCGATGACCATACCGAGTTTGTTCCTTCTCTGTCAACTGTCTCCACATCAGCCTCACAGGCAGACATTGTAACACCTGCAGTTGATCCATCATCTGAACCAGAAATTGTCCCTAAAAAAAAAATGCAATTGAAAAAAAGGCCAGGGCCTTCACTTTTCACAACACAATGGCGCGTATAGATATGTGAAAAATATATAATAATTAATAGTATTCCTAGAAAGAGACATGTCCTCTGATACCATTATGGTTGATCTTGTTGACTGAATATGAAAACGGCTGTAAATTCATTGAAACTGATATAGCGAAAAAAGTATTTTAAAATGATCAAACGAAAACTGATGATTCGTGTGATTTTTGTCACTCGTCTGTTGAAACAATACTGCTTTTTTATATGTTTGGCTGCATGCTTAGTTGGAAATAAAAATTTAAAAATATGATAGAATTTCCTAAGCATAATGAATGGTTCGTTTCATATATTTAGCATATCTTTGACCACATCCAACAAATATTAGATTATCAACCTCGTATTTTTTCTCAGTTTATGGTTACTCTCATGGGTTAGTTTTAAACCTTCGTTGGACTTTTCTACAATTATAAAAAGTAAATTCCATGCGTTGTTTTAACCACGTGTTGTGGTATGGGGGGCTAGGGGTTTTGGCATATAGGCGTTTTGAGAGACAATCACCAGAACAGCTGGTGCGGCAGACACGCTGACGGACAGCCTGGCACCATAAGAGTATTCCGGACACTCTCTAGCCTCGGACGCTCAGCCACGAAACAGTGCCAAGATGGCGGACGCGGTTTGGTTTCTTCAGAATGTTCCGAGTTTGAATGAGTTTGAATGGCACCAGGTGCCGTCATCCACTTTGAAGATGCTTTTCAATAAGAAACAGCCATAACAATTAATATCCGTATTCCTTACAAGAATGACAATATTGACGGGAGGCCCCAGGACATTTTGTTAAGTCCTGTCAAGCATCACTGAGCACGTTTCAACACACTCTCACTGTTGAAGGTCATTCTCTGATCTTTCGCATCCCAATGTTTTGATAGATTTCCGAATGGGAGGTTTTCGGGGCCAGTTTCTCAGTGACTTTGCTCTTGTAAAGCATATATCCTCTAACCGAATCATAACGCTATCGCTCAGGTTTTGAATCGGAATTTAAAAGATCGGAGAAGTTGACGATGAAAGTCAACGAAATGAAAATAACGAATGAAACAGACGCAGACGGTCATCCCAAGAGCGGAGCGTCACTATTAGGGCGACCACCCTCCAGAAAGAAGGTGGTCCGAAAGGTAAGTATTCTATATAGTATTCTGCATTTCCTCGATTAAACGCCCGGACGTTTGTTTCTTTCAGACACATTAAACTGCCGTTTGGGACGGTTCTGAACCATGCAGTGTTTGTAAACAATAGCCGATCACCAGCTGATCACCGAGTTATAGTCGGCTCTGCTCGGCTTATTCCGTTTCTGCTCGGCTTATTCCGTTTCTGCTCCAGTGACCACACCGCGGGTGTAGGCTTATCACGTGACCGTAGTTTCCTCTTGTTTGTAAACAAGCGCACGTACTCTGAAATAAGAACAGACATGTCAAATGCAACCCTTCGGTGCGCTTTAAATATTGTTTTACATAATTACATTGATATACTACCACAACTGCGACAGTGAGGTGCATGACAATATATCTTCTTGTGAGGATGAACTTTGTTGTAGGTCACATGTCACTAAGACAAGCAACTAGTAACTCATGACCTTCAGATTGTTAGCCTAACAACTAACCAACTGAGCTACTTCCACACTGTAAACTTAGAGCAAATAAACCCAGTCACGCCTGAGACAGTACGGAACTAAACTGGTTGAATAGGTGACGGACACTTACAAGGCCTACAGATAGGCATGGTGTCTTGTGACTTTTGTCTACGGACACTTACGAGTGAACCTGATGCCATTTGACACGCTCGTCAATATGTTTGTTGATTGTATACCACTTGTTGGTTGTTTGTTGGTTTCATCGCTAGTTCTTTTACGTACAGATTTCTGGGTTAATGTATTGTTCCACTTTGGGAACACATAACACTTTGTTAAGTTGCTGTCTTTACTAACATTTTAAGCTGTTGACTACATATCCAGGTGAGCTACATTATTCCATGACAAGAACAGTTGGGAACAAAAATGTATATTTTTCAATTGTTAGAAATGTTAGATGCATCAAATGTTTATGTTGTTGCTTTTACTTTCAGCCATTGTGCTGGCGACCGCCATCAGGTGATAATCAGTATGATGGATGCTGTACAAACTGCCTCCGACTCTCGCTCATCTTTTACATGCTCTATTTAGTGGTAAGTTAACATGTCCTTTTTTGGGTGTTGTAGTGAAGCCATTTTTGCTGAAATCAGAACTGGTTGTTTCCTTGATAATAATTCGCTGTGCAGAGTTGTGTCCCTTGGGCACGCCAGAAACCTATGATTGTGGGTTCGAATCCTGGTTCGCCCAAATTATGTTTCTAGGTTTGTCAGCACCATACCCCTGCTTGTGGGTTTCACCGAAGTGGTAAACGTCTTAGATGTGCATCACTTCGGGCTTTCCTCCCACAATAAGCTGACACGCCCTGATATAACTGGAATACTGTTAAAAGCGGCGTTAAACCCAACTCACTCACTCCATGATAATAAGGAACGCCTCGGTGGTCTAGTGGTAGAGCGTCCGCCTGGAGAGCGGATGGTTGGGGTTTTTCGATCCCCAGCCGTGTCATAAAAGAAAATGCTTGTCTTTTTCCTTGCTGAAAAGTAGTTGAGTCTTTGGTCGAATGGTCAATATACCAAATGTTTATGACAGCATCTTGGAGATTCACTAATAGAGTGTTTCATGCCCAGAACACATCTTAAATTAACTATTGGCAAACTGGAAATCGGCCATGAATAACGCATGATTTTATGAAATGATCTTTGCGATTGATTTTCGCCCAGGACACATCTTAAATAAACTATAGGCAACCTGGATATTTGACATGAATAAAGCATGGTTGTATGAAATGATCTTTGTGATCATGATGATCTCAATTAACTGAGGTGCTTGAGTTGGAAAATACCAAGAGGATCTATCAGTTCAAACATTTCCTTGCTTTCATTCCAATGTTTGTTCTCTTGTTTTCCCTTTGTGACAGATATGATGGAGAAGGGAATGTTATGTCGGATGTTTGTTTGTTCATCAGAATGTCCTGTCAGAATGGTGTTTGTTCCCAGAATGAATGATCACATTAGTTAAATTGTTTAGACTGTGTTACTTGACGCAATATGCTGGTATTGCTTGGTGAATGATCAGAGTGTGAACTGTCTGTTTTGTTCGACCTCTTCAAAAGATGTACTGTCGTTGTTTGCTACAACACTAATCAAATTCAAATGTAGCGCATGTCTATTGGTAAGATTTATTCATTTTTTGTATCACTACTGATCAGGGTAAGAAATGAAATATATTTTCATTAGTCTGCAAAAAGGATTTGCTATAGAGTTGCCATCAAAATAATGGTAAAACTGGTAGTCCACAAGGTATTGTCACTAGACCTCCTGTAGTTTGCTGGTCTCAGACTAACTTATGTTAATTTTAAACCCTACCAATCTAAACTTTCAGATGATTACAAAAATCCTATTATTATTATTATTATTATTATTATTATTATTATTATTATTATTGACACACCGACTAAATTTTTCATAGTCCAAATCAGAAAGTGAGGAGACGAGCAGGAGAGGTCAGGCACCACCATACTTACTCAGCCATGTTAGAAAAGATCCCCAGCCACCTATGCTGGTTATAGCATGTTTAGGAGGCGACTAAATGGATCAGCATGGTTTAACCTTGACCTACAAAACTTGGGGACCAGAGGACCCCTAATTACAAATGTCAAGGGTCCTTACAGGAAATAAGAGTTTGCTGTAGAGTAATGGATGAGTGTAGTATGCTGTGCTGTAAGATTTAGTAATTACTTTAATTACAGGAACTCTGTAGTTCTTGTCAAGAGTTTGTTTTAAACATATTTATATTTTATTGACATATATGGTCAAAAGTTATCCAACTTAGGTGTCCCTTTCCGTAATGTATTTGTACAGATATTGATTATACATATATATACACATAAACATATACATATACATAAACATATACATATACATATACATACATAAACAGAAATACATACATATACACATAATCATATATACACATAATCATACATACTCGTACATACATACACATACTCTTATACATATGCACATATTACATTTATAGTAACAAAGAGAAATATATTTGCACAAGAACATAAACATAATGTTTGCAAGAATAACATAGACATACATAAGAAATGCCTATATAAACAAAATTCACTTGTATATACACATTAATCCAAAATACATGCAAGACTACATATGTCATTACACAATCATACATACACTTATATACATGTACATATATGCACACATACACACACTGCATACATACATATAATATATATACTGAACACCAAAAGAAACGCAAATCAAGAAGGTATAGGAAACATGATGTATTTTGTTTCAGCTGGTATAAACATAATAATGATGGATACAACACAATTCATTAGCAAGAAGAAAGAGTCAGTTCTCTGGACATCAGACATCTTCTGTATAAATCAACACAACACCACGTGACATGCTGAAGTCAACTCAAGTATGGGTACACCTCAATACCTGGTATGGCCCCCATTTGCATTCACAAGCGTGACATACCGTCTGTGCATGGAGTGAATAAGACGGTTGATAGCGTTCATGGGGATGTGACGCCATACCTGCAGGATGGTAACCTCGAGCTGTGCAGCTGTCCTTGGCCTCGGACGCGCCATGTTCAAACGTCTCTGCACTTCATCCTACAAGTGTTCAATAGGGTTGAGATCAGGACTAAGAGCCGGCCAGGGCATGGTGTTGATATTGCGCTGTTGCAAGAAGGCTTGAGTAATCCTGGCGGTGTGGGGACGAGCGTTATCCTGTTGAAATTGGAAGTTGCCATGTCTTGCAAAAAACGGTACAACCTGGGGCCTCAACACCTGATTGATGTAACGCTGAGCAGTGACACATTGCCCCTACCAGCTCCAACGTTCTGAAAGATTACAAGGTCAATTCTCTGATTTAACCCTATTCCACCTCAAACCATGACACTAGGACCACCCCACGAGTTCCGTTCAAGGACACACTGGTCATGATAGCGCTCACCGCGATGTCGCCATACTCTAATACGTCCATTGGCACGATCAACACAATACCGACTTTCATCAGAGAACAGAACTCTTCTCCACTGCTGAAGACGCCAATTCAACTGTGCTTGGGCCCACTGTAGTCTCAGGAGATGGTGATGTTGAGTGAGAACAGGACCTTGTGATGGTCGCCTACACTGAAGCCCTCCGTCACGAAGTCGCCGTCGCAGCCGTGTTGGAACTTACAGCCCTCCCGTGGTTTCAAACGACGTTCCTAGCAGTTTCACTGGCCGACAGGAAACGTTCTTGCAGGTGTGACCTTTAAATGTGACGGTCCTGACGTTGTCTTGTCACACGTGGTCTGCTGGTATGATGCCTGTCTCTGGTGCTGTTGGTTGTCTGGAATCTTTCCTGTAGATGGTGGAAACGTGGACGTTAAAGGTGTTTGCAACTCTCTGAACACTCACCAGCTTGAAGTTGCCCAATAGCTCTCTCTCGATCAATCTGTGACAGTCGTGGCATTGTTACTGACGTTGATGAGTGAATGATTCACAGTGACACTTTCGTGGCTTTTAAAGACCACATTATCACGGACAGTTTTTGCGGCTTAAGCAGCACATGCATTTCGTGCATATTCATCCCACACTGACTTCAACGTCGGTGCGTTTGAGCGCTGTGGATTAAGAGTTCACTGCCCTTAACTCTGGTTAGGGTCATTTTGGAACAATTAAAGCCCATTACAATGGAACCATAGCAGCCAACCGTTTTCACAACCATTTTCCCATATTAAATAGGAACTTGAAGATTTCGCGTTTCTTTTTGGTGTTCAGTGTATATACATTCACATACACATATTTACACACATACACAAAGATAGACATACCCGTAGACATTATGCTTACAGAAGGAGGCAGAGATACCCATGTATTATATACATGCACGCAGTTTATACACTAGTGCCATAATTAATAATAAGTGGTCGCAGAGCAATATTCTATATTTATGATAAAGAGTTATTTGAATCTATTAGTCGACGGCATATATTTTTGAGCGCTGTTGAAGATGAGGTTATTGTGACTTTCAGCTAGGGATACATCACCATAGAGAATATTTTGTCTTGTACATCAAGTTCCAGCTTTTATAATGTTAGCGAACATGATATTTCTGGGAAAAGTGTAATTGGGACATTCAAGAAAAAAGTGTATGTTGTCAGATAAATTTACTTTAAGGAGGTCTGCATTTAGGGAACTGCAAGAATGTCTTAGGCCTGTATGTAAAATATATGCTCTTCGGTTGTCGGTTGAGAAGTATGGAGGTGGAGCTGCAATGGTTGTTTTAATCATCTGTTTAAAATGTGATAATGATGTTGCACTTCTGTATTCAGGGAGTAACTCATTCCACAGTTTGATGGAGAAGGTATAAGTGATTGTTGGTATGTAGCTGTTCATGCTCGCGGCAAATTCATATTGTTCTGATTTTGTAACTGATATCTACTAATAGTTGATACTTTGGGTGGTAACATGTCTTGTAAATATGATGGACATAGGTTATTAACAATACTGTAGATTGTACAAAGTTTTATATTTTTCCTTCTATAATATAGTGATTCCCATCCTGTCGAAAAACATAAACTCGATCTTGAGGAGAATTTAGGGAGACCTGTTACTATGCTGGCGGCTTCGAGTTGAATCATTTCAAGTTTTTCGGAATTTTCTTGACTGCAGTTATCCCATACCTCTGAAGCATATTCTAATATAGGCCTTATTAAAACAAGATAGATTTTGGACAGGGTTGGTCTGTCAAGTAAATATTTAACGGTTCTTAATGAACAAATCATTTTGGAAGCTGAGCGGCAAATGTTATCAACGTGAGTTGTGTACTTCATATCATGAGAGAGAGTAACGCCCAGATGTTTGTGCGAGATAGATGCGCTATGTGCGGTATTGTTATAAATAATATCTGCAGTGCGTTTTTTACAATGAGTGAAAAGAATAAATGTTGTTTTTTCCAGGTTAAACTTAACAAGCCATCTATTGGCCCAGGTATTGAGAAGCTCTAGATCACTGTTTAATCTGTGTTCTATCATTTGTAAGTGAAGAGATCATGTACCAATGGAAGTATCGTTTGCGAAAAGGCGAGTAGAATTCGCTAGATTATCAGCGAGATTGTTGATGTAGACTAAAAACAAAAAGGGGCCTAAGACTGAGCCCTGGGTGACACCAGCTCTGGTGAATTTCAAAGATGAAAAGCTGCCATTTACAAAAACCTTTGGTCTCCTCTGACTAACATAGTCTTCTAACCATGGTAAGAGTTTGGTACAATGAATATTATCGTGTGTTCCTCAGGAAGCAAAATATGTTTCTTCTGCGTCCATTCTATACATTTATCTGTGTTGGAGGGACATTTCTGTGTTCTTGTAAATCCCTGGATTGGGTGGTTAGGCAAGTTGGTTGAGCTGGTGTCATCACACCCCAACAGAGTGGGTCATTGCTCATCATATCAATCACTGGATTGTTTGATCCAGACATCCGGTCCCATCATTTTTTGGTTGGAGTGCAGTGTTAAAACAATCACAGACACGTTAAGATAATAGGGTAGCCAGGCTCTGTGATTTCGCTTGTGCCCCGATTACGAGGATCAGTGTATTCAGTCATTGGTTTGTCACTGGTCCTGAGTGAATTGTCCGCATGCCACAGTGACATCTAAATGCCACATGAAGCAGCAACATACTCTGATATATCATACTGTGAAATTCCATCAAGAACAACAATGTCATATGTATTCAAATATGACATGCAAACCATGACTTGGCTGTCAACAGTTTGCCTGACCAAAGATCTTTCATTAGACAGAATTATTACATAAACCTTACAACTTGCAGATTACATGGCTCATCCTCAGTAATCTGTAAAGTGTCAATGACGAAATTGCGCAAAACCGTATTATTTACAATTGATAATAAGTTCTATCACACTTTACGGGACGCTTTGATCACACTCTCTGTGGTCGCACTTGAGTGGACTTGTCACAGTGGTTGAATTAATTAGTGTCAAGCACTTCACTGAGTATCATGGTGCACACCCATCTCACGTGCAAGAAACCGCCTGTGACTGTTTAGGGTGACCTGTTTGCTTGTATCCCCAGGCTGTTGGATATATTTTCCTACGAAAGGGTGTGTGGCTTCTGATCACTGATTCCAAGACAGATCCTCACCTGGATAATCCAATACAAGTGGCTGCATACTTCATTATCATGGCTGGTGTGGCTGTGGTCCTCCTGGCGTTCTGTGGATGCTGCGGCGCGATACGGCAAAACAGAAGTGTCTTATCAGGTGTAAGTATACAATTATCATATGTAACTACTGTTAGGCTTGGTGACTGGGTTGGTGCATGTCATCGTGTCCCATGCGTGAGTCGATGCTCATGCTGTCAATCACTGGATTGTCTGGTCTAGACTCGATTCTTTACAGACCAGCGTCATTTAGCTGGAATATTGCTGAGTGCGGCATTAAACAACACACAAAGCAAAAAATCTTCAAGGGGAAATCAGTCAGTGTACAATGTATTTGCTTGTAACAAGGTTAGTCTTTTATGTGAATTTTGAAATGATTTTGATCACAAAATGTTTAATCATTCTTGTAAAATACTTAGGTGGAATGTGTTTAGATCAATTGTGAGAAACAGGATGAGATGATTTAGCATGATGTTAAGAACATGATGTAGGTTACATAAATAGATGTCACAATGACAGCCAAGTACAGTGAAACCCTGATAGTCTGGAAACTGTGCATTCCGGACACTTATTGTTGAAGATGCTTACAATTCAATTATTGGTATATTACAATGTCCCTTTTTTTCATAATTTAGGAATTTCTTATTTAAAACAATTAGAAAATGTCACTCTCTTAATGAACATGGCTTCACAGTGTCCTATTGGGGATCATTTTGTGGATGAGTTTTGGTTTGACTATGTAGAGTATCTGAGTTAAGTCTCACAAACTGTGGGAGTATGGATGACCCACTTACGTAAGGCGCCGCAATACGCTGTGCAGTGTTGCGTCCCTTTGGCATGCCAGAAACCTATGATTGTGAGTTTGAATCATGGTTCACCCCGATTATGTTTCCAGGTTTGTCAGCACCAGAACCGTGCTCAAGCGGTAAATGTCTGAGATCTTCCCTCTTTAAGCTGACTCATCATGATTTAACTGGAATACTGTTCAAAGCAGCGATAAACCCAACTCACTCACTCTAACAAATTGTATCTCCTTGTGTTTCAGTTTGGATCAGTATTATTAATAGTATCAATATTACTCTGTGTGGTGTCAGGAATTTGGTTCACCTATCGGCACATGGTAGGTACACATGAAATATCTGTTGGTAAGTCATGACAAATTATATTTTACCTCATACTACTTGTTTAGCTGATAGTGGGACTGGCAGGCTGGGATGTGTGCTGAATGGGACATGCAGTTCACAATTGAACCCTTTGTACAAAATTGGGGCACGGGTGGCCCAGTTGTCTAAGGCGCCGCGATTCGCTGTGCAGAGTTGCGTCCCTTTGGCACGCCAGTAACCTATGATTGTCAGCACCATAGCCATGCTTGAGGGTTTTTTTCAAGTTGGTAATCTATGATCTGTCACACTTTGGGATTTTCAGCCACATTTAGCTGACTACAGTGACACACTGTGCTGAAATACTGATTGATGTTTCAAAATCTTTTCAGTAAACATTTAGTTTCCTTACCATAAGTTATCACTTTATCTGTGAATGAAGTATCACTCATCTTACGTTGATTTGACAACTGGTAAAATGTTACAAGTCTTTTTCTTTCAGCTAATCCCGTACTTTATGGACTTTATGCATAACGGGTTAAAGAATCAGTATGGCATGGACACAGAGAGCAATCCGGAAAACAGTGTCGTCACTAGTTTGTGGGACTTGGTTCAGCAAGAGGTTGGTCTCTCATTCTGTAATAACAAGACTGTCTCCATGGTCTAGTAGTAGACCGTCTACCTGGAGAGCCGAAGGTCCGGGGTTCGATCTCCGGCTGAGTCATACCAAAAGACATTAAAAGATGTTACTTCTTGTTACCATGCCTGGCGCTCAGCATTTTGTGGCAAAAACATGGACTGTTTTTTTTGTTGAGTTTCCATGGCAACGATTTTGACTTAGACTGAAAATGACAGTAGTGCTCTTTCCCAGAGCAGACCTTGAAAACCGTACACAGGGGTAGAAACTAACATATTTAGTCCACTAGTCCTTATAATGATAACATATATATAGCAAAACCCTTAAAAAGGCAAATTTCTACTAGTCCTTATGATACCTTAACTATTGGCAAGTTTGGTAAGGACTACATTACTAGTGCCATAGATAGGTCTAGTGGTGATTTTTCAAATTTTCCATAGCAACGACTTTGACTTAGTTCACTGGGGCTCATACCTTGCACTCAACCAGACATGTGATATTGGCGGGGGATATGAGTATTTCCTGCTTGCTTTATCTAAGATGGTCTTTCCCTCACTTCAGCTGAATTGCTGTGGCATCTCTGACAACAGTTCTTCTGAACAGAACAGATCCTGGGAATTCTATACCACGAATACGCAGTGGTATTTGGAAATGCAGAATGACAGTGAGTATCCCATTATTATGGTAACAGTAAAAGTCACACCTGTGTAAGATGGTTCGTAATATGAAACCATCCTACTCCACAGTCACACCTGTGTAAGATGGCAGGTGATATGTAACCATCCTACTGTACAGTCACACCTGTGTAAGATTGCAGGTGATATGTAACCATCCTACTGTACAGTTACACCTGTGTAAGATGGCAGGTGATATGTAACCATCCTACTGGACAGTCACACCTGTGTAAGATGGTTTGTGATATGTAACCATCCTACTCTACAGTCGCACCTGTGTAAGATGGTTCATGATGTGTAACCATCCTACTCTACAGTCACACCTGTGTAAGATGGTTTGTGATGTGTAACCATCCTACTCTAAAGTCACACCTGTGTAAGATGGCAGGTGATATGTAACCATCCTACTGTACAGTCATACCTGTGTAAGATGGTTTGTGATATGTAACCATCCTACTCTACAGTCACACCTGTGTAAGATGGTTTGTGATGTGTAACCATCCTACTCTACAGTTACACCTGTGTAAGATGGCAGGTGATATGTAACCATCCTACTCTACAGTCATACCTGTGTAAGATGGTTTGTGATGTGTAACCATCCTACTCTACAGTCACACCTGTGTAATATGGTTTGTGATATGTAACCATCCTACTCTACAGTCACACCTGTGTAAGATGGTTTGTGATATGTAACCATCCTACTCTACAGTCACACCTGTGTAAGATGGTTCATGATATGTAACCATCCTACTCTACAGTCACACCTGTGTAAGATGGCAGGTGATATGTAACCATCCTACTGTACAGTCACACCTGTGTAAGATGGCAGGTGATATGTAACCATCCTACTCTACAGTCGCACCTGTGTAAGATGGTTTGTGATATGTAACCATCCTACTGTACAGTCATACCTGTGTAAGATGGTTTGTGATGTGTAACCATCCTACTCTACAGTCGCACCTGTGTAAGATGGTTCATGATATGTAACCATCCTACTCTACAGTCACACCTGTGTAAGATGGTTTGTGATAAGTAACCATCCTACTCTTCAGTCACACCTGTGTAAGATGGTTCATGATATGTAACCATCCTACTCTACAGTCACACCTGTGTAAGATGGTTCATGATATGTAACCATCCTACTCTACAGTCACACCTGTGTAAGATGGTTCATGATATGTAACCATCCTACTCTACAGTCACACCTGTGTAAGATGGTTTGTGATGTGTAACCATCCTACTCTACAGTCACACCTGTGTAAGATGGTTTGTGATGTGTAACCATCCTACTCTACAGTTACACCTGTGTAAGATGGCAGGTGATATGTAACCATCCTACTGTACAGTCATACCTGTGTAAGATGGTTTGTGATGTGTAACCATCCTACTCTACAGTCACACCTGTGTAAGATGGTTTGTGATATGTAACCATCCTACTCTACAGTCACACCTGTGTAAGATGGTTTGTGATATGTAACCATCCTACTCTACAGTCGCACCTGTGTAAGATGGTTTGTGATGTGTAACCATCCTACTCTACAGTCACACCTGAGTAAGATGGCAGGTGATATGTAACCATCCTACTGTACAGTCACACCTGTGTAAGATGGTTTGTGACATGTAACCATCCTACTCTACAGTCACACCTGTGTAAGATGGTTCATGATATGTAACCATCCTACTGTACAGTCACACCTGTGTAAGATGGCAGGTGATATGTAACCATCCTACTGTACAGTCACACCTGTGTAAGATGGCAGGTGATATGTAACCATCCTACTCTACAGTCATACCTGTGTAAGATGGTTTGTGATATGTAACCATCCTACTGTACAGTCATACCTGTGTAAGATGGTTTGTGATATGTAACCATCCTACTCTACAGTCGCACCTGTGTAACATGGTTCATGATGTGTAACCATCCTACTCTACAGTCACACCTGTGTAAGATGGTTTGTGATATGTAACCATCCTACTCTTCAGTCACAACTGTGTAAGATGGTTCATGATATGTAACCATCCTACTCTACAGTCACACCTGTGTAAGATGGTTCATGAGATGTAACCATCCTACTGTACAGTCACACCTGTTTAAGATGGTTTGTGATACGTAACCATCCTACTCTACAGTCACACCTGTGTAAGATGGTTTGTGATATATAACCATCCTACTCTACAGTCACACCTGTGTAAGATGGTTCATGATATGTAACCATCCTACTCTACAGTCACACCTGTGTAAGATGGTTTGTGATATGTAACCATCCTACTCTACAGTCACACCTGTGTAAGATGGTTTGTGATATGTAACCATCTTACTCTACAGTCGCACCTGTGTAAGATGGTTCATGATATGTAACCATCCTACTCTACAGTCACACCTGAGTAAGATGGCAGGTGATATGTAACCATCCTACTTTACAGTCACACCTGTGTAAGATGGTTTGTGATATGTAACCATCCTACTCTACAGTCGCACCTGTGTAAGATGGTTCATGATATGTAACCATCCTACTCTACAGTCACACCTGTGTAAGATGGCAGGTGATATGTAACCATCCTACTGTACAGTCACACCTGTGTAAGATGGCAGGTGATATGTAACCATCCTACTCTACAGTCGCACCTGTGTAAGATGGTTTGTGATATGTAACCATCCTACTGTACAGTCATACCTGTGTAAGATGGTTTGTGATATGTAACCATCCTACTCTACAGTCGCACCTGTGTAAGATGGTTCATGATGTGTAACCATCCTACTCTACAGTCACACCTGTGTAAGATGGTTTGTGATATGTAACCATCCTACTCTTCAGTCAGACCTGTGTAAGATGGTTCATGATATGTAACCATCCTACTCTACAGTCACACCTGTGTAAGATGGTTCATGATATGTAACCATCCTACTGTACAGTCACACCTGTGTAAGATGGTTTGTGATATGTAACCATCCTACTCTACAGTCACACCTGTGTAAGATGGTTTGTGATATATAACCATCCTACTCTACAGTCACACCTGTGTAAGATGGTTCATGATATGTAACCATCCTACTGTACAGTCACACCTGTGTAAGATGGTTTGTGATGTGTAACCATCCTACTCTACAGTCACACCTGTGTAAGATGGTTTGTGATATGTAACCATCCTACTCTACAGTCACACCTGTGCAAGATTGTTCATGATATGTAACCATCCTACTCTACAGTCATACCTGTGTAAGATGGTTTGTGATATGTAACCATCCTACTCTACAGTCACACCTGTGTAAGATGGTTCATGATATGTAACCATCCTACTCTACAGTCATACCTGTGTAAGATGGTTCATGATATGTAACCATCCTACTCTACAGTCACACCTGTGTAAGATGGTTCATGATATGTAACCATCCTACTCTACAGTCACACCTGTGTAAGATGGTTTGTGATATGTAACCATCCTACTCTACAGTCACACCTGTGTAAGATGGTTCATGATATGTAACCATCCTACTCTACAGTCATACCTGTGTAAGATGGTTCATGATATGTAACCATCCTACTCTACAGTCACACCTGTGTAAGATGGCAGGTGATATGTAACCATCCTACTCTACAGTCACACCTGTGTAAGATGGTTTGTGATATGTAACCATCCTACTCTACAGTCACACCTGTGTAAGATGGTTCATGATATGTAACCATCCTACTCTACAGTCACACCTGTGTAAGATGGTTCATGATATGTAACCATCCTACTCTAAAGTCACACCTGTGTATGATGGTTTGTGATATGTAACCATCCTACTCTACAGTCACACCTGTGTAAGATGGTTCATGATATGTAACCATCCTACTCTACAGTCACACCTGTGTAAGATGGTTCATGATATGTAACCATCCTACTCTAAAGTCACACCTGTGTATGATGGTTTGTGATATGTAACCATCCTACTCTACAGTCACACCTGTGTAAGATGGTTCATGATATGTAACCATCCTACTCTACAGTCACACCTGTGTAAGATGGTTCATGATATGTAACCATCCTACTCTAAAGTCACACCTGTGTAAGATGGTTTGTGATATGTAACCATCCTACTCTACAGTCACACCTGTGTAAGATGGTTCATGATATGTAACCATCCTACTCTACAGTCACACCTGTGTAAGATGGTTCATGATATGTAACCATCCTACTCTAAAGTCACACCTGTGTAAGATGGTTTGTGATATGTAACCATCCTACTGTACAGTCACACCTGTGTAAGATGGTTCATGATATGTAACCATCCTACTCTACAGTCATACCTGTGTAAGATGGTTCATGATATGTAACCATCCTACTCTACAGTCACACCTGTGTAAGATGGTTCATGATATGTAACCATCCTACTGTACAGTCACACCTGTGTAAGATGGTTCATGATATGTAACCATCCTACTCTAAAGTCACACCTGTGTATGATGGTTTGTGATGTGTAACCATCCTACTCTACAGTCACACCTGTGTAAGATGTTTTGTGATATGTAACCATCCTACTCTACAGTCATACCTGTGTAAGATGGTTTGTGATATGTAACCATCCTACTCTACAGTCACACCTGTGTAAGATGTTATGTGATATGTAACCATCCTACTCTACAGTCACACCTGTGTAAGATGTTTTGTGATATGTAACCATCCTACTGTACAGTCATACCTGTGTAAGATGGTTTGTGATATGTAACCATCCTACTCTACAGTCACACCTGTGTAAGATGTTATGTGATATGTATATATATATATTTGTTTAATTTATTATATTTCGCTTTTCACTGGTGTCATTTGTTAATGAATTTTGTGTTCTGTTTGTTGTTCAGTTTTTTAGTGTGAATATATTGTAAAAATGACTATCAGTGTAAATTATTTATCACATAAATTAAGCTTACACAACATGATGTTACTGAAAATGTTTTTTAACTCCCTACAAATCCAAAAACATGGCATCACTGCTTGTTCTCTGTGTTATTTCAGTTTATTTTTTTCCCCTGCTATGAAGTGGGGCAGGGGATATAGGACCGAGTCTGTCCATCCATCTGTCCCTCTGTCCGTCCGATGTGCTTCTCAAAGTGGACAAACTTTCTCAAAAACTAGAGAAATGAAATTTTCACACTGATACTAGTGATCATGATCTCCAATGAGTTGGAAAATTGGTATCTTTTGTTCATTTTTTATAGTGTTATTGCCCTTGCTCCGTGTATTTCAAGTTAGTGCATACTGTGTGAAATGGGGACAAAATTCTACGGAATTACTGAAGTTACTTCAATGAAAGTTTGCATGCTTATCTAAGAGATACTTGTCAAGACAGTTCTAATGTGCCCATGGCGGGGTATAGTGATAACGCTGTTTTCTTGTCACCTATTCCTCAGTACAGCTGTTGTTGTATTTGCCTGCCTTTAGTTGCTTCCCACTAATGCTGTGGTCTTACTGTGCTGACATGACACAAGGCACGCTTTCCATCTGAAGGTCTGAGCCAACAGAAGGTTCCTCACAGCTGCTGTGACCCTGAAGGGGACATGGCCGTCTGTACCGGACAAGCCTACTTCCCAGGACCCCCTAACTATCTCAATTCATCGATCGGAAATTTTAATCAGACCAACCCTTACTTATTCACAAATGTGAGTACTTGGTGATCCTGCTTTGGGGTGACTATATATGTATTTGATTGAGTTTTCCATGTACATCCCCCTGTGGGGACTCTGGGTTGGAGTAAGTCCCCCTCACCTTTCGTATGCTTGTCGTGACGGAAATGGGGATTGGCTGGTCATGCTTGCTGACTCAGCAAACTTTCAAATACCTCATGGTTGCTTTAGGAGTTGACTTCATTGAATAGAGTGGTCAGCCTCTGTGACTTGGCTTGTAGAATTGGTCCCTTGTAATTTGTTTGATAGACATTAATAAGAAGTTGACGGTTGACTAAGTAGACACAATTTATGGATAACAGTAATTTAAGAAGTTGTTATCCATAAATTGTGTCTACCTTGGTCCCCTGTACCTAATTCTTGTCCAAAGAGCAGATGGAGATGGGGATCTCCCGATCATGTTTGTACGTCGTGCTTGTTTTGGAGTCGACTTGATTTGGGGTTCAATCAGGTGGTCAGGCTCTGTGCCCTGGCTGATTGTGTGTCACCACACCATGATACTGTGGATTGGTGGGCTTGCCTTCAACCATTGGTTTGCCTGGTCCAGACTCATATATCGGCCGCCATGAAAACGATGGAATATTGCTGACTGCAACATCCATTTGCTCTTGTATGTCCACATCTATATCCACGAAGATCATGCAGTTTGTTTGATGTTTAACACCGCACTCAGCAATAGTCAAGCTATTCGATGGCGGTCTGTAAATAATCTAGTCTGAACCAGACAATCCAGTGATCGACATCATGAGCATCGATCCATGCAATTGGGATATGATGACATGCATCAACCAAGTCAGCGAGCCTGTCCACCCGATCCCGTTAGTCGCCCCTTAGGACAAGCAGTCGCCTTTTACGGCAAGCATGGGTTGGTGAAGACCTATTCTACCCCGGATCTTCACGGGTATTAGATGATGTAGGAAACTATGACATAATAAACAGAACATTTGTGTTTTCATGTCAAATAACACGTGGCCACCTTCAGTATCTCATCGAGTGATCTGTACAAAGGCAGTGCCGCTCATGAAAATATCAGCTTTGTCAGGCTATGCAGTGGTATTTGACAAGCCAATTATGTGTATATTAGATGAAAACCATGACATCACTGAAATACTGTTCTAAACTGTGTTCACCTGGCTTACCTCAGCTGACCCTAGAAAATATTGCTTTGTGTCGACCTTATATGATGAAATATGCACATGTACTTGATATGACGTTCTTGATTTGAATTTTGTCTGATTTATATCACTGTCAGGGTATTGAAGGTATGACACTCAGAGGAAATGTTTCCCAAGGTCCATACTGCACATTTTATTCAGGGTAATTTAAACTAAAGGAGATGGACGGTTCCAAATGTATGTTACTGAGTGACAATTATTGCTAGGCAAAGGTGATTTTGGGCTTCCATTGTTGGCAACATTAAGCTTACATGATTAAAGTCCAGATTTTCCCCCTCTTGCACAGCATTGGCACATAAATGTTGGATGTCTGCACAAGCATCATTTTAGCAGATTCTTTTGTATGGAAACACACAATGGGAATAGTTTCTTTATCATAAAATATTATTTTAATAATCTAAGTTTAAGATATATTTCCATTCATTAAAGTAACTTTAGAATCATGTGTGAATAAATACCTGAGTGAAATGCGCCAATGATTATATAGTGCCAAGCCTCAGTCTGAATTTATTGAAAATGGAAGGCAGTAGCCTTTCATGCAAGTTTCTGCTATGGTTGACTTAATGTGCATATTTATCGGATTGTAATACCAAGTTCATTGGATTGGTGTATCACATCGATAACACTAACCACTGCATCATAAGGCATTATTTGTACACTTAAATAACATACATGTATGGTAGTTGAGTTCAATGGGAGTCCGGGGGCACGGGTGGCCCAGTAGTCTAAGGCGCTGCGATTCGCTGTGCAGAGTTGCGTCCCTTTGGCACGCCAGAAACCTATGATTGTGGGTTCGAATCCCGGTTCACCTGGATTATGTTTCTAGGTTTGTCAGCACCATACCTGTGCTCCTGGGTTTCACTGAAGTAAACGTCTGAGACCTGCATCACTTCAGGCTTTCCCCCCACATTAAGCTGACACGCCGTGATATAACTGGAATAATGTTAAAATCATGTTAATTCCCACCTCACCCACTCACTCACTCCAATTGGAGTCCTATTGACTTTTTTACATATGAGAGATTTATTTTGCAATGACCATCATGCTGAATGTAATATGACGTACATGGAATATATATTGTTTTTTTCGTACTACATTTACTAACACACTTCTTATTTGCTATTTCAGGACTGTTATGACTTGTTATCATCATTTTTGTTCATACTTCCTGCTTTTGCTGCCATGGGGTTTGTCATTGCGGTAAGTGTAATCTTAATTTATATTTCTGAGGTGCATTTTGATAAAGTTGCATGCAACCTTTGAAATAATATCTTTGGAGCCTACCAGTTTTAGTGTAAGTGATTGTAGTGATATGATTGTTGTGAGTGTGTATCAAACTATTGCAATTGCAATAAAGATCAATTTGTGTACGTGGACCATGTAGTTTGTTCTTCCACAAAGTGTTCACTTTTTTTGTACATATCAAAAATAGAAATTCTTAACCAGATTTTGCGTGTTAAAATGCATTTACTGCACATTTGAACACTTGATGAGTGACGATATATTCCTAACAGGACAACAGTGGACCCATGTCCAATATGAAAAACATGACACAATATCCCACATGTGCACCATTATTGTAAGTACTGCCTGGCACCTCTGGACCATAGCCAAACTGAGAAACCAGATCACACATTGGGGAATGTTAGCCCTCTCAGCCTGAAGTACAAACTGGTAAAGTGTCTGTCTGTGGTTTCCTTAAGCCATTTTATTTCTTGGTGTTTGAATTCGTGCAATAGGTGTTCTATTGGATGAATTTGTCACAATTGCACTGGGCTGTTAAGTTGCCTTGCACTAGTACCAGGTTTGATGTACAAGTGTGGGAGATAACCGCCCACATCGTAATGCTGCCACGACTTGGCTCTCCCATCAGCTCAATACACTGGGCCATTAAGTTGCCTTGCACCAGCACCAGGTTTGATCTACAGGTGTGGGAGATTTGTGCACCCATCTTAATGCTGCTACTACCTGTCTCTTCCATCAGCTTGATGCAGCAAAGTCTTGAGAAGTCTGATGTCACATGGGGAATTCAAAGAGAAGAACTTATTAGATAGAGGTGGTTCCCTGGCATGAAGGGACGTGTCTGAGTCAATATTTGGCAAGTTCCAACAATGTTCTTCAGTGATAGACTTTTTGTGCAGTGTCTTTGTTACTCACTGCTTGGACTCAAGCAGAAGGATTTTGTTTGTATCATAACATGTTATGGTTGTATATCAGGTTTCTAAACTGGAATAATTTCATTAAGCATATATGTCATGTTCTAGTTTGTTTGATACTACTGACATCGAGAGCTTTCCCTTGATCCATCATTGGAACCATTAGCATAATCCGTGGAACCATCGATTGATGTAGTTTTCCTTTTTTTCAGGTACTTGGCATCATATTAACATTCTGTTTCCGGGCAAGGGTTAGTGTTACGTCATCACCAGGTGTGGTGATAGCGGTGTAGGCACTACTGGACAAGACTGTATATGTGAGTTGTGAGTTCAATGTGCCAACAGCTCACCATAAGTACCGCCTCCATGGTTTAGTGGTAGAGCATCCGCCTGGAGAGCGGAAGGCCCGGGGTTCGATCCCTAGCCGCTTCATACCAAAAGACGTTAAAAGATGGTACTTGTTGTTACCCTGCCTGGCGCTCGGAGTCAGTTTACTGTGTCTGAGTGGGGTACAGTGTATTCATGTTAAACTGCGGCATGGTATCTCAGTCTGCTAGCACTATAAATCGGCATCAGTCCGGATTAGTACAAGCAGCCACACACACACACGTGCATGCACGTTGCTATATAAGTGCAATAATCTTGGACGCGACCCAATTTCACCTCACCTCACCTCAAGATGTATACAATTTATATGTGAGTTGTGAGATCAATGTGCCAACACCTCACCATAAGTATAGTGAGATTGAGGATCAGTTGCATGTGCGCTGTCGGCACCAGGGAAAGTTGCGAAACAAACTCCAAGTACATTATTGCAGAACTGAAACATAAAGTTGTCACTTTAGAACTGGAGAATGTACAGTAGAAGTGTCAGTGGAAAGGTTAGAACTGTCTGTGGAGAACTAACAGACACAAAGCATGACAGCAGAGACATAGCGGACCTCCTTCAAAGATTACAGTTCTAGCACATTTTAGTGTTCACATTCTTGGAATAATATGCAAACATTTCAACTCATATTTAATTATTCACTGTGGAATAGAATCGGTCTCCATCATTCTTGCTTCCATCATGTTTCCAGAGCCTAACTCACAAACCGCTCAAATGGTAGGAACATGGGAGTTGCACTAGAATTGTGTATTTTGCTATTCAGGAACTGTTTAGATTTTATTTGTGCAATTGATATTTGTTGAGTTGAAATGGCTTTCTTTTTCGTAGAATGTCCTAAATTAGACGGTTTATGTGCAATCATCCCCTCATGATACTTAAAACTTATTTATGAATACATTATACTGTTTCATACCAATTTATGTTTTATCTCTATTTATGCCTATTGATCAGTGTTCCATTGTGTTCTGGTTGTGGGATGAGAACATCTCTTGCATCTTGATGTGAAGTGATGAGTTCCCTCCACACTAAATTGTTATTTACTCAAGTCCTACTTCACTGTTTCAATGCTACCTCATTAATATTAGACAATTTGAAGTAAGTCATATTGCAGCAGTGATGAATTAGCTATACTATAGTCCACAAACAGGATCTTGTTTTCTATTTCTTAATGTGTGTTTCAACATGTCATTTCTGATCAGCTACCTTGTACTTTCTTGTAACATTGTGTATTCGTTCAAAATATATGCAGCATTCTGTTTACTCTTCCATCTGTAGACAGGCCAAAAGTATTGTCTTCACTGGATCAGTTTGCATTGAGGAGCAATGGCTGCCTGCTCCATATTGTTCAGGTGTCATGGTTGTCTTAGTGAATATAGTGCAAGCTTACCAAGTATGTTATGTCAGTAACACATTTGTATTTGTATATGAAAGTCTCTTGTTTCTACCTGGCATTGTGACAGCCTCCGCGATCTAGTGGTTAGAGCATCTGCCCAGAGAGCGGGTGGTCATGGGTTCAATCCCTGACCGAGTCATACCAAAAGACGTGAAAAGATGGTACTTGTTGTTACCCTGCCTCGTGCTCGGCATTAAGAGGCTAAAACAAGGACTGGTGGGCTTGGAGTCTGTAAACTGTGTCTGAGTGGGGTATTCATGTTAAACTGCAGCATGGTATGCGAGTGGGCTAGCACTGAGACCTCGGCAACAGTCTTGACTAGTGCAACAGCCACACACACAAAAGTGCATGTCGCTATGTAGGTGCAATAATGTTGAATGCCAGGTCAAACACCCATTACACTTCATGGCGCTCTGCAGTAAGGGGAGATGAGGGTTGCTTGGTAATTTCTGAGCCTCATATCGAAGAAATTGTGCAATAGTGAAATCTTTTGTTTTGGACATTAAGAGATGTCAGAGGTGTATCCACAAAAAAACTTTATAATTGTTTCATTGTGACAAGTGAGTAAAATAAGCGGGGGTCGTTGACGTTTGTGAAATGCACAAACTTGAATGTGCAGTAATCAAGTCAAGTACAAGCAATTCCTTCTATGTGAGCTTCAGAACTTCCAAATCAACTCGCAAACAATAAGGACTGGTCAGCTCGGCCCTGACCAGTACAAGCAGCCACACACATTGTGTGCATGCACATCACCATATACTCTGTACATACAGACTCAATAGTGTCATAGGACCCGTGAAGATCCGGGGTAGAATAGGTCTTCACCAACCCATGCTTGCCGAAAAAGGTGACTATGCTTCTAGTAAGAGGCGACTAACGGATCGGGTGGTCACTGGCTCGCTGACTTGGTTGATGCATGTCATCATATCCCAATTGCGTGGATCAATGTTCATGATGTCAATCACTGGATCGTCTGGTCCAGCCTTGATTATTTACAGACCGCTGTCATATTGTGGGAATACTGCTGAGTGCGGTGTTAAACCACAAGCAAACAAACAAACAAACAATATTGTCATAGAGTATCATTTGTCATACATCCCAGACTGAGATTAAGATGATATGAGAACATCAGTGTCATCCATGATTATGAATGAAGTTATGCATCTATATAATTTGTTTGTTAAATGTCTATTAATGTTTGGTAGATGAATACATATTTTATTCAGTATTTAAGGCCACGTGGCCCACTGTACAGTTGACATTTTCATTTGTTTAGTCATGTGATATACATGATATATAAAAACTATCTGCCCGAGAATATATGTTTCAACAAATGGCCAGTGAATATATAACAGCGGAGTTGTTGGATTTTATAAGACTGATCATTAACGTTTTGTTTTCATGCATATTGTTAAACTTTGGAATATACTTTCTCTAGGATGTTCATACTTATCACATATGAATAAAACATGGAATTCGTCCTCAGTTTCTCCTTATTGGCAGTTTTGACAGATACCAATTTCAACCTCCTTTTTTGAGATCTTCGTCTAATATTTACATTGAAATTGTGTAATGACACTCTGAATTTACATAATGCCCCAACAAGCATTTATGATCTAACATACATATATACTTTCCTGGTAGATGAATAGAATAGACTTGTTTGAATAAACCCAAGGAACCTATAACACAGGTCTTTCCTTGTTTTAAGTCGAGCTGTCGATAGCTAATTTCTTCTGTTAGATGTCCTGCAACAGTGAAAGTAAATAATGTGAAAGCTGTATTAGTTTGTGGAGAAAATCGATCCTCGAGACTGAAGCCAGTCCTGAGATTGATGATTCCATGTCATGCTCATGATGTCAATCACTGGATTGTCTGGTCCAGACTCGATTATTTACAGACACAATTTCAAAGCCAATATATCTGTGGTCACTCCAATACACGATGATTTAAAAAGAGGCGAAGGCTGCGGACAGATCCAAAATAAAACTAGAACTGTGGCACCATCTGTGTCCATTGCTTTTATGTTGGTTGGTTCGTTTGTTGTTTAACGCTGCACTCAGCAATATTCCAGCTATATGATCGTGGTCTGTACCAGACAATGCAGTGATTAATATCATGAGCATCGATCCACGCATCAACCAAGTCAGCGAGCTTGACCACCCGATCCTGTTAGTTGCCTCTTACAACAAGCAAAGTCGCCTTTTACGGCAAGCATGGGTTGGTGAAGACCTATTCTTCCCCGGATCTTCATGACTCCCACTGCTTTCATGAGATTGGTTTGTATCCTGATGAGGCCAATTAGCAGAACTGGGTTAAGTATGCTATCTATGCGATACTGGTCAAACTATACCCGGCATTTGCCATTAATAGATTCTGTGTGAGTAACAAGCCTGGTTTTATTTTAGGAAATATGTCTCCTTGCAGATCCTTACTATGACCAGGGACATCGCAGCAGTTATGGCAGTTGCATGACCAATGTCAGCAAGAGTATCTATTATATCACCAGAACAAGAAACACGCATGCCCTCGCAGCATAATGACTTAAACATATTACAGGTCTATCTGGCTTGTGACATGAATGAGTAAAACCATTCAAAAAGTCAAAGATAGTGGTCAAAGTGTGAGTTGGGGTTGAGTACTAGTTTACGCGGTTATATTGCAAAATACCAGCAGTATGCTTATATATAACGATAGCACACGTGTGGAGTAAGATGCTTGCCAACCCTGATGCCCATGATAGCCTTTCTTGCTTCAGTGGAGGATTTTACGTGCGCTTCAAATATTGAAGTGGAGGATTTTACGTGCGCTTCTCCTTCCGGAACCGGACTTACCGCCATCTTGGAGGCGCACGCATTACCCAGCATGCCCCTCTTCGCGCATCCAAGATGGCGGCACTTTCGGTAGGGGAGATAACTCCTGCTGGCTTGGCTACCATACTACTGTCTTACACTACTCCTGGCATTGCACATTGCACAAGGGGGAGGGGGATATGTACACCATGTTCATGAATTGATATTTCGTATTATGTTTCGGAGTTGTGATCTTAATGAACTCTCCCACCTTCCCACTTATTATTGCACGAGGGAAGTGGTTAAACCGGCGTGGTGTTTGTCTGTGCCAGACACAGAGCGCCATGAGGTTCATGAGTGTGAGTGAGTTGGGTTTAACGCCGCTTTTAACAGTATTCCAGTTACATCGCGGCGTGTCAGCTTAATGTGGGAGGAAAGCCCTAAGTGATGCAGGTCTCAGAAATTTACCACTTCGGTGAAACCCACGAGCACGGTGCTGACAAACCTTGAAACATGATCGGGGCGAACCGCGAACTTTCTTGAAACTTAGCAGATTTAATTGATCGTTACTTTGTCTAGATGTGCAAATGATCATTTTTAGATTCCCTCTCTACAACGACCCCCTGGTT